CTTGAGGAGAGAGAGGAAATGGAGACAAGGTAGGAAACAATGTGGTGAATGTGGAATGACCATCAAGGATAGACGTGGGCATCCGGTTAACCAAGAAGTAGGAAGTAAGCACTGCATCACTCCAAAAGGATTTGGGAACATTCATGTGATGCATGAGGGACCGAGCTATTTCCAAGAGGTGATGATTCTTTCTCTCAGCCACCCCATTTTGTTGTGGGGTGTAGGTACATGAAGTCTGATGGATAATGCCATGTTGGTCTAGGTAGTCCTGAAATGATGAAGAGAGATATTGACGGCCATTATCAGAACGAAAAATTTTAATGTGAACACCAAATTGGTTGCGAATCTCAGCATAAAATTTTTGGGAAATGGTAAACAATTCACTTCTTTCTTTTATTAAATAGAGCCACGCCATCCTTGAATAATCATCAACAAAAATGACAAAATATTTATATCCATTGTATGACATCACTTTATAAGGACCCCAAACATCTGGATGAACCAAAGAAAAATGACTCAGTACATGATTATCAACTCTAGGACTAAATGGACCACGATGATGTTTCCCCAACTAACACGACTCACAATCCAAAACAGAAAGATGACTCAATGAAGGAACCAAAGACTTCAAAACTTTCAGTGAAGGATGACCAAAGTGACGGTGCCACTGGAGAGGAGAGAGGAACTATTGGAGAGCTGTTGATGTACTTCCATCACCATCAAGATAATACAATCAACCAGCTTCATGCCCTCCACCAATCTTCATCACTGTCTTGAGATCCTGAAAAACACACGAAGAGGGGTAAAAGGTAATGGAGCAATTAAGAGACTTGGTTAACTTACTAATAGACATAAGATTWAAAGGAAATTTAGGGATATACAAAACTGAGGATAGGGATACAGGGTCCAGGTCAACATTACCAACACCACAAATGGAGGATGTGGAACCATTAGCAAGGGTAACAAATTGTGATGTTGAGCAATGAGAGAGGGAAGAAAACACACTGGAGTTCCAGTCATGTGATCGGAGGCTCCAAAATCAATAATCCAGGGATGGGGTGTGGATGCCAGACAAGCCATACCTGAGTGTGCGAGAGTGGTCGTGTTCTCTTGAGATGTGGCCTGTACTAACCTCTCATACTCATCACGGGGAATACTCATCATCTCCTTCCAGCAACATCTGTGGATGTAGGAGGTACCTGATCGGTTAAATGGCTCTCCTGTCTGAAGCTACTGTCACTGGTCACAGCATGATTGGCCCAAGTTGAATGTGGACCATGCAAGTCATAGCAATAATTGATGGTATGTCCATCCATACCACAGTGTGTACACCTCCTTGGACCCGAACTACGTCCTCTGCCCTGGGCTCCCCCTGAATCTCGACCTCCAGTACGACCACCACCACGGTTATATGTAGGTCCACTACCACCACTCCGGCCACATGCCGGTCCACTACTACCACTACGGCCAGACTGAGCTCCCCGAGCTCCACCTCTAACACCACGACCTCTGGATACTGCTAGGGCTGATCTATCGGAGATATTAGGGTTCTCGGTAGATCCAATGGAAGTCCTCTTGAGTTGAGCAAACACCTCTTCTAAGGAAGGGAGAGCTGACCCTTCTAGTATCTGAGCCCGCATTGGTTCATATTCAGATTTCAGCCCCACCAAAAACTGAGTCACATCAAGTTCTCTCTGTTATTGCTGAATTTTGACATTAGAAGTGAGGGGGTGATAAACATTCAATTCATTACGAATGTTTCTCATACTAGCATAGTACTCAAGACACTGATTACTCTGTTGTAGATTAAAGTATTCCTGGTACAACTGATATACTCTGGTTGTGTTGTATTGACCCGAATACAACTTCTTAGCATGGTCCCACACTTCTTTGGCAGTATCAAGGAACATGAAATTTACACTAATCTTGGGTTCCATACTATTCCATAACCATGTGATGATCTGTGCATCTGCTTGCTCGCAATCATCATACTCAGGAGAATCGGTGGAAGGTTTTTCATCCTTTATGTGCTTCACCTTCTTCTTTGCCTTAAGAAAGACTTCTACAGATTTGGCCCAAGGTACATAATTTTTTCCATTCAGCTTAATGGAGGTCATTTGAACGTTTAAGTAGTCAGTAGGGACCGTCACACTAGTCTTGCTATCACTGTTGTCTCCCATTGCTGAATTCTGATATTGCTGAATTCGGCAAACTGCACACTAGATCATACTACATCCTGATTTCAGCACTTACTACTGCTGCAAATTGCACTCTTTACACCACAAATTCAACTCCACGACTGCCTGAAACTTTCCAACACTATTTGAGGAACACCCCCCCTTCAAATCACACTGAAGGGTGCACAAACCCTAGCACACTACAATCTGAAATCCCACCATACAGTCTGAAATAGACTTCTCATTTAATTCACACAAAAAAAATGCATAAAACCTCTTACTTGATCACCGAAAATCAGACCACACAAGACACCCACTGCACTACATGAATCAGCTCTCTTCTCTTCATCGGTTAGGGGAGGGCTTCTTAGAAACTTCAACAACCGACCACAAACACCACAACTGGAGGCATAGAAACCTCCAAGGGAAGAGGGAAATCACTCATTTTCAGCCCTGTCCCTTATCTCTAGCTGATGGCGAAGAAAATAAGAGAAAACCCTAGGCTCGGTGCGCAGATAACAGAATTCTGGGCCGATCCGATTTGCCCAGTTCAGCTCTGATACCATGTTAGTGTTCGGTCTGCTTGTTAGACTGATAACARTCAAGGAAGAGAGAGAGAAGAGAAGAGAGAAAGAGAGAGGAGAAGAGTAGAAGAGAAACGAGAAAAGATTCTGGTTCGAATGAGAGAAAAAGTTCACTCTCCCATTCGGCCAAATGTATTTTATATTACTAAAATAATGTGGAAAAGTCACATATGCCCCTACTTAAGTTAGGGACATTAAATCTAACATAAACTTACACATCAGCACCTAAACACAAGCACAAAGACAGAATTATCCCTACATACTCAACACTAACAAGGTCTCTTCTCTTGATTTGGTATTTCTTGATTAATTGTTCTAAGTTTTCCAAAATTGTTTTTTTAATGTTTTCTTGTAAATCCATTTGAAGTGTAGAAGCACTAATTATGTTAATGATTTCCTCACTTAAAACAAGTCTAGTTAAAATTATTCTATCTCCAATTCTTCTAACATTTACAATTTCTTCTTTCTTTGAGAAAGGTAATATAAATTGCATTAAAAGTAAATGTGTATATTATACTATGAGTTGTTGTACATATATATTCCACTTGAGGACTTCACAAAAAAAAAAAAAACCCTCCCTCAAAAAAGAAGCAAAAATAGTATCATGTTTAAATACATTGTGTATAGGCAACCAGTTTCTGAGTTACTCATGCTAAACAATTCTATTGTTCTTCTCATGCCAAATGGCCCACAAAACTGCTATTGGAATGGTTGACCAATAGTATTTTTCCTTTAGACATACCTAGGACTTGCCATTCTTGTAAAAGTGCTTTCACTGAGCTTAAAAAACACCATTTTAGGTTTTGTGCCTTGACAATGTTGTCAAAATCTTACGATTTACAATACGATTCACAATTTGAATCATGAATCCCAAGGGTTTCAATTTGAATCTTATGTCTGAACCATTTTTCTGCAAAAATCTTATGATTTTTGTTTGAATCATATGATTTGATTCATAAATCTTACGATTTATATGCTTTTTTACGATTCAAATAAATTCAATTAAGAATTAGTTCTCTACTTGTTTTTTATTGTGTATGTTTAGTTTTGCCATGGGAGACTTTTTTTTAAAGCCCTTACTAGAAAATGATTTATTTACAATATTCAATACTTGAAATTGAGTTTATTGTGTATCATATGCAAGTTAAAGGGTCACTGTATGTAGATTTGTTTGATTTTCAAGTCAAACTTGATTATATCGCCATAGCCTTATAAGTACATATATGGTAGACATAGATTAAAAATAGGGTAAGGTCATTTTTCTATATATATTTAGCCTTTTAATATATCTATTTAATTTTTTGACAAGTTTGCAAAAAATAGAAATAATCTTACAATTTATGACACGATTCACGATTCGATTCGATTCAACTTTCTCCACGATTTACAATACGATTACGATTTTCAAAACATTGTGCCTTGATGAAATGTTGCCAAAAAGTTGTACTAAAATTGCAGTGAATAAACAAAAAGTTGCCTTGATGAAATGCATAGAGAACACATCAAATCTGGAATATTTAAGCCCTTCGTCAACCACATTTCTTTCACGAGGCATTTCTCCCAAGTTATCACCCAAGCAATCAACTTCACTTTTGATGGAGCTGCAGATCCCCTCTCAGGCAAACAACCTCCGTGCTGCATATTTCATTTTGTGCATGATTATCTCCTTTTCAACATTATTTACTACGGCTGCATTTGGATTTGGTTTAAAACGTCATCGGTGTAAAAGTATACCGATGACATTTTACACCGAACCGTAGCAAGTGACTGTTAACACTTTGTAAATTGTGATAAAAAGTGTAAAGTTTTACATCGATAAAATCGATGTAGTATTTACATCGATATAATCGATGTAAATTTTATGTTTGATGAGGTTTTACATCGATTCACGATGTAAAACTCCACTCCATTCAAATGCCAATAAATCTAAACCGGAGTGGAGTTTTACATTGATCTTCATTTACACTCCGTCCAAACACTGACAAAACCGAGCTGGTGTAAACTTTTACATCGTTCTTGATTTACACCGATACCAAATGCAGCCTAAAGAGTAACTAAGTAGTCAATTAAGAGTTCTTGACATATTAAGATGCCGTGCATTCGTTCCAACATTTTGTTAGTTGAATGGCAAACCACTTCCTATTCTTGAATTTTCTTCAGCTTTCATTAGTTTAAAGTATATGATCTTAAATAAAGAATAGCCGTTCTGAATCCTAACATCCAACTTTGAAAATTTCAGCATGTTCCACGGATAAATTCTTATATCCCAAATTTAAATGATGCCGGTCTGGATCATCAAAGGCTGCTGCAAAGGTATTTCATCTATAATTTTCTTTTTAGGGAATTGCTTGGGAACATAAACGGTGTCTTCTTTGTTTTCTGTTTCCACCCATGGAAATCTTGTGAACATAAATTAATCAAAATATAAAAAAAGGTTATGGCATCCATTTATCAACCATACATGCACACAGAATATGCATATGCATATACATACACATGAATGCATGTAAACAAATAGAACCAATAGAATGGTCTAGGGGTCCCATAACTTGACATATCTTCTGTTTGGAGGGCTGGACCCACCATTTGATGAGTGGGGGTCCTTTCRAAGAGAGATTAGTAAATGATTGAAGCCAAATATTTTAGTTACCAAAAAAAGCCATATATTTTACTGAACTTGCTTGGCTGGTAAATAGGAAATTTCCTTCTGACCTCAGTTAGGTTGGGTAAGGAGGGTTCTTTTGTTGTTGATGATGAAACAATTTGAATGGTTGTATATACTCCCAAATTTTCCAAAAAGTATTTTGCAAATAAGATTGTTAAAAGTTATGTAATTCACCATTTTTGGTGTTGGATATTGATGATCCAAACATATATGTTGGATAGAAAGTAATAGGAATCTGCTGAATTAAAAAATATGAAAGAAAGTAGTTTCTTGAAGAGAGAAGAAGAGAAGAAGAGAAGAAGAGAAGCTGAAAAGAAAATAGAGCAATAATCTGGCCGCCCCCTTCACTTATTATTTATACTAAAATAATAGAACAGTACAAAGACAACTATGCCCTTATAGGGCGGAAAAACATAAAACA